TGAGTATTAAAAAGAAAACAGACATCCAAAGAAAGCGAGCTGTCGATTAATCGAAGCGGGTTTCTCGTCCCGATGCCTCTGCCCAGCTTTGTAAGCGCACTTTAAAGACCTCAAACTGGTTTCAATATTTAAAGCTAGGCAAACCTGACTTATTTTATATACATAATATACAGATATATATGCATATGCACGTGCTGATGTATGTCACTGCAATATCCTCTGCAAAAAATAACTTATCCCATCTCACAGTTTGTCACGTAGCCCTTGGGCGATGCTTTGAAAGCGGATGTTTTCAATGGATTTTGCAATAATGCACAGAAATGTTGCTCAAGTCACTTTTGCATTGATATATTTGCAGACATTATTTAGGAGACGAATTCCAGTTATGAAATGTTGTAGCAACATTTTTGACAACGAGACAAATTTCAATTGCATTTGACTCGAACAAATTGCAACGAAATGAATCAGTCAAAAGCCAAGTGCAGCTCTGAGGACTCTGGAATGCGCAAAACTTGAGCCGCGAGAATGAACAGCAGCCAGCAGAAAGATACAAATGAAAGCAAATGTGTATGTGTGTGTGTATCTGTGTGTGTGGACGCTTTGTGTGAAGAGGGGAACAGCTAATTGCAGTCTGTGTAACTGTTGTCTGTAGTCAGCCGCTTCGCGGCAGTGATATCTTTTAATTTGCCACAAAACGCACAAAATGTGCAAGCCATGTTGTTGTGATACTGTGTGTGTATGTGTGCGTGTGTGTGAGTGGGTGTGTGGGTGTATGTGTGTGTGTGTGTGTGAGTGGGTGTGGATGTGGGCAGTCAACAGCCAAGCAGCTGTAGCCCTGGCCAAGCCTGGGAATCCTCTCACTTTTATTCCCATGCACATTGCCATTGTTTGCGTGTGTGTGTCTGTGTGTGTGTATTTGTGAGTATGTTGGCTTGTGTGTGTGTGCAGCGATGATGAAGATGATGCGACTTGGGAGTGCAACAGTGACTCAAGCTGCCGTTGGCCCAGCCCCTGCTGTATGCCCCGCCACAGCCGGGCTGCCCGGCAGGCTGGATATGACACAGATTACGTAATGCGAAATTAACATTTTAACACAATTCAAGAGACGAGGTTGCAACTGCAGCAGAAGAAAGAAATTGCAGCGAAGAGACAACAGCAGCAGCACCAGCAGCAGCAAACAAAGAGGGAAAGAGTGAGTTAGAGAGAGAAAACGATACATGAAATGAGCCCGTTGCCGCCTCGGTTTGGGCATTTGGCCATGTCTGGCTGATCATCAGTCTTTGTTGTGGCGTGGTCAGCAGACACCTAGGATCAGGCACACACAGACTGGCCAATACACATACACACTTGCACACACAGACAAACTGAGTAGCCGGTTGCGCCTCTTGCAGCCAATTATGCAATTAAAGATTTACATGCGAACAAGTAGCAATTTCAGCCAAATGAGGCAAATTTCCAATGCGCTGGCGTCGATTTGACAAAGCGACAGCTGCCCCAACACCACAGCACCCCTAACCCCCGCCCCTGCCTCCAGTCCCCGCCCTGCTGCAGCCAACTATCAATGAGTGGCCACGGGGCAGCATTATGCATCTTGCATCTTGCTGCATGTCAGTTATTATATATATGTTTTTTTTTCTCTTGCTTTTTTTCGCCACTGTCCGACTGACTGTCAACTGTGACGTGTCATCGCCGTAAGTCAGCGGTTTTATTATTACTTTTAGCTGATTGTTTTTATTGCATTATTTTTGGCTGTTGCCGCTGTTTTTTCCCATGGCCAACAAAACCGGCGCTGACGCTGGCTCGACTCGAGCAATTAGTCAGTCTGTGATTTGTAGCTCGTGCAAATGATTTTTGGAGGCATTTCGCAAAATATTGAACAGCAAGTTAGAACAGTTACAAGTTTAAATACCCTTAATTAGAAACTACTTGCGACTGATTGTTCCTATAACAATATGATATAGTAGCTGGAAATCTCCGGCCTTCTAAGAAGAAGGATTTTTTACACGTGTTAGAAACATAGTAGAGTTAATCAAAACTGAGTGTGGTTAAGAGATCTGGATAGCAAAAAGTATTTTTATAAAAACATTCATTAATCGACAGATTCTTAAAATTAAGCCACATTACATAGTATCCCGATGTTGACAGGATTTCGCAAATATGTAAGGAGTATAACAGGAGGAGCATTAAGTAAGTAAATTTAAAGGTTCCTTAAGATATTGCGGGAAACATACGTATATTATAGTGGTCTGATCCGTCCAATTCCGACATGTTGTAACAGAAGGACGCCGAACGATTTTATGACGATAGCTTTAACTAAGCGATAACTAAGAGACTAGTTTGCATATAAACAGACAAACGGACAAGCGGACATGATTATATCGACTCGGCTGTTGGAACTAATCGGGAATGCTTTCCATAAACGATGACAATATTCAATACGCGCTATGTTATAGAAAAAAAAAAGTTTGCAAACCAAATTATTCTTATAAGAATTAATACGAAAAGTAATTCCTTGACGACATCTGACATCTCAACTAAGCGAAGGAATCTTAATAAACAGAAGTGTTTTTCAGTCTACAACCTATGTCTTGTCTAATCGCTCTTTTGGGCTGCCAATGAGCGATAAATTGATCCGATTTTCCGAATCCGAGCCCCAACATTAATGCTTTCTGCTCATAGTAACATACCGTTAAGACTTTGCTAACGGATATTATCTATATATTATCTAAGCACTATAAATCCAGCCACATCCACTTCCCCGTCTATTAGGCGGCACAGTTCGCCCAAGTGTGTCTTCACTGTATATATTGGTAAAATTTTGTAGATTTCAGCCCCTTCACATTATATGATTTGACAGCATTTTAATCCACTTTGCCCTTGCGGCAAAAATTTGGCAAGGGGAATGCAGAAGTCGGTTTATTTGCCGCATCACGTATACGCCACGTACACGGCCCATTTTGGCAATTGAGTTTAAAAATAAAAGTAGCAACAGTCTTTTTTTTGTGTAATTTTCATACATTGGCTTTTAATAACAGTCTGATGGCTGTCATCATTATTATCGTTAACAAGATGATCGCGTTGCTGTGGCCGTAATTTGCTAATCATTTCAACTGCCGCTTGGCCAACTATTTGAACAAGGAAGAAATTGTCAACCGTTCAAGTCATGAGAAAATGCCAGTAAAATCTTCAATGCTGGTTATTTATTTGGTGCCTCCAAAGGATGGTCTCCAGATTGACCAACAGTCGACAGACAACAGCGAAAAGTGAATGGCAGATGCGGCTGTCGCTGCCGCTGCTGCTGCTACTGCTGTTGCTGCCTTGGGCTGGAAATTGGGTAACATTCGCGGCAGTGGGCGCAACTGTCCAGCATTATTATGGAGGAATCTGTCGCTATTGGTATTTCTTTGTGCTTAATCAGCAGATGCACATGCCTGACTGAGCCAGGGCAAAATCTGATGGCCATAATTGGTCAAGCAGTGGATGGATGGATGGACGGACGGATGGATGGATGGATGGGTGGATGTGCTTCACAATGGACATGTCTTAATTAAGCATCGGCAAATGTTAATTAAAATACGCCAAAATTGGGCAGCTGCTGCTTTTACTCTTGGAAGCCCAGCTGCGTGGATGACTTGCAGAGGTCAAGTAGATAAATTTGGTACCCTAACTGGCTGTGGCTTTCTTTGTGGCAGGCGTCTATGGAAATTCCACAATTCGATTGGCCATAAAGCGCAAAGGCTCGTTTAACAACTAGTTACGTGGTCGTCGTCACCCGCCGCCAAAACGCTTCCTGGAAACCACAAACTGATCACCGTCGCGACAAAGGTGGCATCTGCCACCGCCAGCTGCCGCCTCAGCTGCCGCCACAGCTGTTAGGCGTCTCACGTACTGGGCAACAGGTAAGCCTGCTGCTGCATGCGCTGCATAAATCTTTTCTCATTTATTTATTTCAAATACAATATATACACTGCAAATGCATCCAGCTGCTTGGGTTGGGTGTCTGCCAAAGCTGCAGATGAGCTTGAGCCTCAGACTGTTGATTATATGTGCATTTTATGCGATTTGTTATGCCGACAAGGTTCACCTTCAGTCGAAATGTTACCCCGGCTGGAGGCAGTTGAACTCTTCAGGATATAATTGGAAACCAATTGACTTAATGCCTAGCATTGACTTTTACCTAAACAATGACATTTAATGTATTCAATTGTGATCTTTCGCATTCAAATCTACTGGCTTTAACCTTTTTGTAAAAAACGCTTTACAACTTATAGAAATATACAAAAAAAAATTACCAATTCTATCCATAGAAAACTGTTTGACTCAACTGACTGAGCCACAAATAACTTTTGCTCACTGTGACTTTTGAGAATTTACAAAAAAAATCTTGTCTTTAGCTTGTCTTAAAGCTAATCGTTGCCAACTTGTAACCTTTCTTCGCACTCCGAAAGTCGAAATTCATGTTCGCTAATTTCTCGTTCGAATCCGCGCAGCTTTCACTCAATTTTTCGAGTCATCGCCCTAACAATCTATAATATTTGCTTCAATTATCTCAGCTATTCTCAGCTCACGGAATCTGTGCAATGTTTGATACAAGAGCGGAGAACAACAAAATGTTAACTGGTCCTGGAAATATTTTGCATTCGAATAAAAGGCAAATGCAAATATTCACAAAATCACAGAGGGGAATTCAGTTGGAAAGTGCGCAACACAATTTGCATGAGGCGGTGCGCGGTGTCGAGTCGGGAGACATGCTAAATATTTAAAATAGAACTGCACAAGAAATTTCCATAGCTAAATATATATGACGAAACACTGTGCAATGGGTAAAGGACTAAAAGGATTGCGAGTGGGCATTCCCATTTGCCGTTTATCTAATACGAATTTTGGTTGGGTTCTATCCTCAGCTAATGACCAAATCCATTTACCCACAAATTAGTTTTTGTGGTTGCTAACTGAAAGTGGTTTTTGGGCTATCGGTTTCTGAGCGTGGATGGACTTACCTTGCGCTTGGAGCGCGCCATGCGCTGGTCGCGCGAATTCTCCGCCTCGCCCGGCGGCCGCTTGCCCCACACGGCGATGGCAATCCGAGTATAGGTGAATATTAGCACCAGCAGTGGCACGATGAACTGCAGCGTGAACAGCGCCAGCGTATAGTAGTAATCCTGTTCGGTCGAGGGCCAGACCTCGCGACAGATGTATCTGATGTGGCAAGGACAGAGCAGGATGCAGCGCATGTCGTTGTTGTTGTTGTTGTTTGTGAGTGGCATGCAAAATAAAAGAGCAAAGCCGGACGCGGTATAAGATTGCGTTCATTTTATGGAATGCAGGCGGTAAGGGCATGGGGGTGGTGCACAAGTGCTGTCAGCTTGTGCCAGCCATACAAGCCGTCAAATGCAAGCACACACTCACACATACAAGCTCGTGCAATTTAAATTTTATGTTATGCGCCTGAAAACTCTTCACTCTATTATGGCCGAGAGCAAATGCGCCAGAATTTCGCCACCATTTCGCAACTATTTTTTGTTGCTCTTTTGCACTTTCATTAATTTGTTTCTGCATTTTTTACTTCTGATAAACCCCACTTTAAGGCCTCTCAACTATAATGACAGAAAAAGAAAATCGCCACAATTTCGAAATAATTTTATTAAATTCGGTCTGCATATTTTACAGTTTGTAGAGCCAAGGTTCAGCCTCTCAACTATAATGACAGTATAACAAAATTGGCGTAGTTTTAACTCCCATTTCGCAAAAGTTTTACCACCTTTCGTTCATTTATTTTTCGTCGTTTTGTAAGTCTTAAGCTAGTCCCTACTTTCAACCCACCTAAACATAGTGGCAAGAGCACAAAGTGAAAAAAGCGAAATCGTCACAATTCCGAGCAGCATTTCTCCAATATTTCTCAACCCGTTAAATGTTATGTTATTTATTTTTTTTTTAATTCAAAGCGACACTACTTCCTCAGTATTTCACCACTATTTCGGCAACAATTCCCCATTATTTCCCCAAAATTTGATTATGTTTTATTAAATTTGCTTAACTCTCAACCGCCTGAACTTAAATGGCAGGAAAAACAAGTGCGTCGCCATTTGACCAACATTTCGTTACCATTTCGCTCTCAATTTGCCTCTATTTCGTTATCATTTTATTTAATAACAATACATTTGCCTTACTCACAACCGCCTCAACTTAAAAGGCAGCAAAAGAACGTTCGCTATCATTTCCCTGTTTTTGGCTCATTTTTCTGCATTTATTATTACCATGCAAATGAAAGAGGTATTTTATTTTGTAGAGTGCATCGTTTGCATAATAAACGCTGCCATTTGCCCTCCTATTTTATGTGCACTTTATTGCATTTTATGCCCATGGTTCTGTGTCAGCATTGCCTGTTTTTGAAGGTCCACTAAACGAAAGCTTCTTTTGTTCCACCGACCAGCTGATGTTGCGGTAATTAGGCACGTTCTTTTACAGCACACGAACGCCCGCAGCTGGCACAAATGTTGCCATAATTGTGAAACAAACTAAGCTGCCCGGCGGTAATTGAATGCGAAATGAGGCGCAACTTTCGCTTAAAGTCAATCTAAATCATATTTGGCCAGCTCAAAGGGTTTCGTGCAATTTGTTTTATTTGCAATTCACTCGACAGCGTGCCACAAACTGCAAAGCGTCTTCAACTGTTGATTTGAATGTGGTTCTTGGCTGATTTTGAATGTTCACAGAGAATATGGCAAGTAGCCCATTACAGGACAACAACTGCAGAGTGCTTGTCGACTGACTATCGATTTCAGCATGTGGCAGCTCCAGTTGCATGCCACTACCATCCCGGCTGACGAGCAGGGCAAAGGCACGCGCTGCGTATGACTTGAATGTGCCCACATATATTTGCTCAAGTGCCACTCGTCAGACAATGCCATGGTCATATCTTTAATGCTACACTTGAAGCACACACACACACCCATACACACGCACACACACTATTTGGTTGTTAATGGTTTCTACTCACTTTTCGCATTTCTCGTGCCATATGGAGCTGGGCACCATCAGGCGGGAGACGACGGGTATGGGAAATGCAGTTGCCAGCGCAATAAACCAAACACCAGCGATAATAAATTTGGCGTAGCTGCAAATAAATAAATATAAGGAAAAGAGTTGTATTAAAATATTTAAAAGGAGACCCAAAATTACGATGACGCACGCATGTGACGCGCGACGCCTGAAGCGTGGCGCATGACACGTAGCATGTGTCTCGCATTGCGCATACGCCCTGAGTGCCAGAATGCGATCTCGTGTGCCCGAATTACAGCCAGCCTGGATAATTATAAACCGTATTTATTTGGGTGCCACACAAATATTTGCACATGCCACGAAAGCCTCGCTCCTTAGCACGCACTCATTGACAGGGCGTGACATAAATGCTGCCGGTTGCGCACCCCTGCACGGCCCCTACACACTTAGCCGCCATTAGCCATAGCAAAAGTCAGCTAGCTGACAAGTGGCAGCAGTGAAGGGGAGGCCATTCTGTGTATTCAGTTACAAAGCAAACTGACGTTCAATGGCAGCCAGCGGCCCGGGCTTGCAGGATTTGCAGCAGAAGCAGCAGCAGCAGCTGCCGCACTGCGTCCGCCTCGTGTCTTGGGTTACTATTTAAACCAATTAACACGACACAGTTCGCCTTCCCCTTTCCCCTTTCCCACTTCCCCTCCTTCCGTCTAGAGTCCGTGCTGGCATTGCGTGTTTTTCAAGTCTCTGGGGGCGAGGCCTTCTTTCGGTCAAGTGCGGCTGGCTGCCAAATGCCCAAAGCGCCAAGCAATGCAAATACGCCGGCGGCCACTTTACGGCGCCAATGTCCCAAATACCTACAACAACATAGAGCAACAAGAGCCCTGCAAACGGCGGGCTTTCAATTAGTTTTTATGCGCCTTCAATTAACTCAAATGCTACTAAAAGCCAGCTTTGCATACTTGACTAAGACTTAACACAAAAGTTAGGAACCAAGTTTGCAATGCTTAACGGGCGACCCGCAGGCTTGACTTGGAAGGATTTCTCGAAGTGCTATCTAAATTGTTATCTAGAACTCTTCTTAGCTCAATTTTCAGTTTTTTATTCAAACTGTGACAGAATCTAATCTTGGAGATGACTCGAAAATGTTTTTCAAAATGTAAATTATTATCTGAAATAATTGAATTATTTTTAATCATTTTATAAAGAACTTCACCCATTTAATGATAGTTTAAAAAAAAATAATAATAATAAATAAAAATAATAATAACTAAAATATTTTAAAAATGTGGCATTGAATAGATTTTTCTGATCAATTTAATTTTCATCCACAAGATGTCTACTTGATTTGATCTCTATCAACGATTGGCATCTATCTAATACGTTTTTATGCCTTTTGGGATTGGGGTAAGGTTTGGTTCATAGTAGGCAATGATTGGAATTCTGGGCGCGAACTGGTTTAGTTTAAATACGGCTTGAAACTTTTTGTATGCATGACATTTAACTCCATCAGGAGGGTTGTTTAATTATAAGGTATTGTTAAAAACTTCAACTTCAATGGTACTTTTGTAGCCTGAGATTCGAGTGCGGATAAGCCTTTGCAGTTGACTGAACTTTTATACCAATAACTGTGCCATAAGAAGTAGCAAACCAAAAAGCAAACGAACAAAAAATGTATTAAATCTAAACAGCATCTCTGTAAATCCCAATTACCCACAGTTATCCAAATTTAAATATATAGATATTATACATAGGTTAATGGATATACATTGATATACGCACCGCTTTGTGATGCGTGGACGCAGGGGCCACATGATGGCTATGTAACGATCAATACTGATAGCCACCAGAGTGTAGGCGCTGACCAGGACGGAGACCACCTGCGAGTAGTTGACAAAGTGGCACAGGACAATGCCAAATGGCCAGTAGTTGAGAATGTACTGCGAGATAAACGAGGAGGGCACACAGAAGAGGGACATCAGTATGTCACCCAGCGCCAAATTGGCTATAAAATAATTGGTAACCGTGCGCATGCGCGGCGTGGACTGCACAATGTAGCAGACGATGCCGTTGCCCAGCAGCGCAAATATAAAGATGGGTATATAGAGCAGGTAGACGACGCTCTTGAAGTAGTCGCTGGACCACAGATCATCCGAATGAGAGCTGACATCAGTGCAGCTGAAGTTTAGCAATACGGTAACATTGAAGTGCTCTGTTGCGGGCGTGGACGATATGTAGTCGGCGTCCTCAGCGCCCAAGGACAGCTCAGTCGAGCTGCTATTGTACATCAGCGCCCCAGCTGTATCCTGATAATCATCCTCGTTGCGCAGCAGCGGCTGCTGTGGCGCAATATAATACAAACGCTCGTCATTTAACACGGTCCGTTGAAGGTCCAAACGACGACGGTGCCAGACAAAACTGTTAAACTCCATTTCCAAGAATGTTTTTATTCTTCTTTAATTGTAAGCAGTCCTTGGACTTTTTTGTATAAGCAAACAACTTTTGCTCTTGTAACTTAATCTAAATACTTTTTGGCATAAGCAAATCCTAATTGCAGCCTCATTATAATCAAGCAGCTGCTATTGCGCTCGGTTTGCGATTTGAATATAATTTCCACAGCCAGCTGAGGGAGCCTGCAAGTAAAAGGATATGAAATATGTAACAGCATGTTGCAACTATTATACAAGTTTCAAGGCATTTTTAAGCGTGGATAGCTCTTTTTACTACATAATTAAATTAAGTATTGGATATATGCAATTTACTTAATTTACCAAACAATATATGACTGCATACTTTTAGACTTGCTCCACAAATCAATTATATCAGCCAGAAAAGAATTTAAATGATTGCAAGCTTTTGTGCTGCTCCCAAAACTGACAACTTATAAATTTAACTGTGAGCTCTTATACTTGCCAATTTAAGAGTGGCAAGTGTATATATTTCAACAAAAATATAACTCAACCTTGGACTTATCCTTGCAGATTTCTAAAAAAAAAAAAAAAAAAATCACAAGGTCCAACTTTGTCCAAACACATTCAAACATAATGTGCTCAAAGTTGCAGCCTTTGTACGAAGAAAATTTGACAACAGACTCGCCAGTATTTCGGAATATACCCAATTATTTCTTTATAAAACTATCTTTTCATATTATTCAGACAGATTTTCGACTGTGACACAAATGGATCACTTCTGTCTATTGGTAAAAACTTGTCGTTGGCAAACAAAAAATTGTATTTTAAACATAAATATAAATTTCAACCTTATAAATTAAATTTTTTAGTTAAAAAGATTCAGAGCCTGAAACTCGTTTTAACTATGAATTGATTTATGGTTCTGAAGCAAAAGACCTACCTCTGTGCAAGTAAAAAACTGTTGCATACTTTTTCGCGCGTTGGCGGAATAAGACTTCACTCTGTATAAGCGAGCAAATGGATGTGGGCAAAACTGTTTTGGCCACATGACAAACGTGTGTGGCATGGCCAAAACGCATGTGAATAAATCACACGGGCAAACAAAATTGCGAAGAAACCAGAGAGCATAACAACTGCCAAAAATACAAACAAACCGCTTCAGGGTGCAGAAGCGGTTGCTATGATAAATGGGTCGCAATCGAATGCCATTTTATGCTGAAGTAAAAGGAGAAACCTTTGAGCGATGACAAAGTAAAAGCTTTTGGAAATGCGAATAGATTGCCAATATGCGTATTTTTTTTTTTTGAATGCGCACATTTTAAACCAGAAATTTCAAAGTCAATAAGCTAAAAGAGATTATTCCAAGTTAAACCTTCTCAACTCAGCCAATATGTTGTATGCTGCATAAATTCTACTGAAAACTACATACCTTTTTCGAATAACTAACCAAAGCATATTAGCAAAAGTAATGCTAAAAAAAAAATTGGGAAAAGCATATACCTTTTTTTTACACCCCTGGATATATTCATGATCAGTATTAATATCGGCGAACGTCTGTCCGTCTGTCTGTTTCTATGCAAACAAGTCTCTCAGTTTTAAAGCAATCAGCATGATACTTTGCATATTTCCTTATTTTTTTGGCAGGCACTATATCCTATACCAAAGGTACCAGCGGTAAATTTTTTTTTTTTTTTATGAAAAAGCTTTGTTTTATTATTATTTATTATGCATTCTAGATTTAAGCAAAATCTTATCAGCATCTTCTTGGCAAAAGTCGTCACTTACGAACTACCCTCCTATTCTTCTCACACAGAGCTGCTAAAATGTAAGTTATATTTCAACAAGGGTATTTATTCTTCGGCTTGGCTAAGATGACAATTCTCTCTCACGTTTATCGCCAGCTTCAATTGGAAAAGCTGTGGTATATTTTAACTTTAATGTGCCGCAGGCGAGCGGAAGCTGTTTGGCTGGCAAACAAAAATTCAGCCGATTGGAATGCATGGCTGCTAGGCCCTCTTTATATATATATTTATATACATATCTATATCATATAGCTATATGAACATTTTTGTTTATAACAAGGCATTAGGCAAATGAAAATGCGAAGCAGATTTGCGTGCGCGAACAATTAAAGCCTGGCAACAAAAGACAATTGTTAAAGATAATATGAGAGCTGTAATTTGATTGCCAAAACTTATTATTGTGTGTACGAGTGTGTGTGTATAAATGTGTGTTAAAAGAAGTCATTTCAACTTTTACTGTCGCGTCGTTTTAATGTCCCGCTAAATAAACTCCGACACTGACGAACTTACGGAAGGACTGACAAAGCACCCTCGTGTGTGTGGACGCTTGCTGTAAAAGCCGGATAAGGATATCAGGCAAGTAAATTGCTTATCTCAGCGCAATAATGAGGTACTTGCTGAGGTTCAGACCGTACGCTCAGTGTATGCGTGTGTGTGTGGGCGGGCTGTGGGTGTGTCTGAGTGTGTGCGTGACTTGAGTTTTTGTCACAGCTAGCAGGTCTACTCTTTATGCTGCTGCTGCTGCTGCTGCCATACTTTATCAATTATCTGCCCAAATTCCGAAATCCCTGCGAAGCTTCATAAAATTTCAACAGACGATTGCCTGCCTAAGGATTTGTTATTGGCATTTTTGTCAGGCATGCGAGACACAAGCAAAAAAAAAAAAAAAATAATAATAAAAGCATTCTCCTAATTCCTATTTGCAAGTGATTTATTTTTTAATATACGCATATATATCAACATTTTGCACATAACATCTATTAATTTTTAAATTAAAAATCGACCCAAGGTGAACGACATGCGCGCCAGCAAATGAGAAAATGGAGTAGACCCAATCGCATGACAAGCGAAAAAAAAATATATTAAAATAAGTACGAGTGCTAAGTCGAGTGTGCGACCACAAGATACCCTAAAGACAAACCATCGAACACCCACGTGCTCTTTGTGAAGCGCCTTCTTCACTTCCAAGCCTAAGATTATGTAGGAAAATGCATTCTTAGTTCGATGTTTATGAACTTTTCGGGATCAAAAAAAAAACAAAAGAACACCCAACTAATTGTGTTTATCAAGAAACTAGGCTCTTCTAAAAATTAGTTTTTTACAGATTTTGACCTGTTTCTCTGGGTTTGATAAATACACTACACTTGCACTAGCCATTATACCCTTCTTATTCATCTTCAATGGGTTCAGGGTATAAAAAATGCATGAGATTTCCAGATGTGTTTGCCAGATTTCAATTGCAGAAAAATTCGCTTTGATTTGGCTTCAAAAAAGGAAAAACCTCGAGTTTCCATCACTCTCCAAGAGCTGCGCTCGCAGTGTCCGGGTCGAATGGCTCATATACATCTCATTAAACATGGGTCCCGGACTGAGTGTATTAATGAAAAGTCATCAATTTTATATTAGGCCAACATGTTCATGTGGATGTGAGCGGCATGCCCAAGTAAATAATTAACACGGGCAAGCAAATCCCCAAATAATTCCAATGCATTGAATCCTCCAGATTGAAGGACGAAAATCGAATGCAAAATGTGGGGTAAGGCAAATCTTTTCGAAATAGAAATATTTTGCCGCAGACATAAAACACGCAAAAAAAAATAAATAAAATAAAATAAAATACTGCTAAGAAAATGGCAAAAAAATCACGTACAAAAATGTAATCACAACACGCGATGCAGACGAGGGCTGAGCATAGAAAGCAGTAGCTAACATATTTGGACCATAGCAAATAATATATTTACGCAGAGTATAAGACGGAGCCTGAGAAAAAATAGCGCCGAAAAAGACGCAAATCAGATTTGATCGGCTTAGTTGCATGTAAATTCATTTAGCGCCTTTTTAGGCTGAACGCGGAAATGGAAAAGGAAGGCGAGCGGCAAGTGGCGATAGGCGGGCGACAGGCGCGAGACGTCCCCAAATCAGGTGCTACGCACATAAATTCAATTTACAAAAGGCGTTGTGCCAAAAAAGAAATATGACTGAAGGGAGCAAAAAAATTATTAAGCCCACAGTAAATCTTCAAAGAGAGCTAACCATAGCTCATATTTCCATTGGCCATCATTGTATTTCAGGCTTATGCTTTGGGATTAGCTTGCGTTTTATGTCCGGCAAATTTTGAGGCAAGAATTCTGCGTGGAGCATCACCAAAAGCAACATTGGTAAAAAGGAACCCACAAAAAGCCCAAATGCAGCAGCTTCAGCTTCAGCTTAGCCAGACCAAAGCACAGTCAAACAATTTTGAGAGCAGAATGCCAAGCGAACATTTGCTCTTGGCAAATTGCTTTTGAAACCGCCACAAAGTGAAAATAGTAAAGGTCCCTGCTCGGGCGCCACACCGTGCAGTGGCAAATATTTTGCCAGCGTTCGCTACTATTTGTCTCTACTTGTCGATGAGAGAGATGAGCGTGCTTTGGATTTGTTCAACACGATGCAAGGCCGAAGCAAACATTACATTACATTACATTACAGCTTGTACACGGGTAACAGGTAAAAGAGCTCTTGTCGGGAGTACCCGACTATCAGGACTACCTTCTACCTTTCATATATATTATACACGCACACTATCGAAAAAGTTTTCCTTAAGAGAGTTTACAGTCCGATCTTTGGAAAATTTTGATTGGCTGCCAAAAGTGTACATATACCGTTTTAGTAACTCCATCAAATAAAAAATAAATGCATACACATAAATCAAAATATGTTCAAGTATATTCTATTTGTTGTGCTTGTCCCTTTCAGGCAGTTTCCTTCATGCTTTCGAGTCTATATTCTCTGGCTGAGCAACACGAACACGTCGTGCTAGAACGTCTCAAACCACGTGCCCAACTCTAGTCTCTAGTCATATGACTGATTGCCTGCTGCTAACCACAATGTCGTTGTTCCCTTTAACCTCGTATACCACAGTCTCCATTACCGACACCATCATACTAGTCGAGTCAGTCGGTTGCGTTTTTCCGAGTGCTTGTAATTATAATTAATGAGCTATGTGAAGCGCACTTGCCGCTGCCAGAGCTAAGTCAAAGGGCAAAAGGCAAAGGTAAGGGCGGCAGACTAAGCGACGGCATTGTCACTTGTGGCATGCCAAGGCGTGGGCGTGGGCGTGGTCGTATCTTAGGAGTGTTTGTGATAGTTTTTATCATTTGACTCATATTTAAATGGGCAACCAACAGCGCAAAGAGCTCAGCAGGAAGTCACCCTTCATATGTGTTAATTAGCAAAGCTTCAAATGAATTGCAGTGTTTGTGTGTGAATTTGTGTGTGTGTGTGTGCGTGTCATAGCCTTGCTAATGCTTATGTATTTGTTATTTGCCTGGAGACAGACATTTGAAGTCGTGTTTGTCGTTTAATTCTTGAGCATAGAATAATTTGATGTCCAGAATTTATTGCAAATGCACTTTAATCGTGGCAACTACAAGAGCGAGGCACTTTAAATATAAAATATATATGCACGTCTATTGCAAAAAGAGTTTTCCATTTTGTGACATTTCTATAATATCGCCCCATTTCCATAATATCGGTGTGTCCTTTTGTGTTTCGTGTGTGTGTGTGTATATTGAAGGAAGTTCGGGAAGTCTGCTAGTCGTGCACTCCCGACTAGAGCACACTTACTAGAATTTTTTTCTAGATATTCGTACGCATTTAGCCATGTATGAATACGGCAAATGCTTAAATTCTCTCGCTTCAAGCAATCCTTAGAGCCGCATTTTATTTGCTGATAATGCTGATTTATGCGTTGGCTTTAAAAAAAAAAAGTTGAATTGAATTTTATGACGGCCACAAAATCCGCTCTGAGCGTTTTATAAGCATTTAAAACCAAACTCGTGCCGAATGCGACACAAGTCCTTGGCCCTGGGCTGACCCCAGCTTGGGTTGAGCCTACCCTTGTCAAACATTATGCTGACTTCATGCGCCGTTTCTGCGACAATGAAATTAATTAAATGCATTCGATTTCAATCGGGTGTGAGTATATAACATGTAAATAGCCGTCCTATTATGGCATATTAATTTGGTTAATCAAATGCAAAAAAGCGCTGTGAAAAAACTGTTAAACGAGACGCATGCCACACCCACACGCCCCCTCCTCATGCGCACAATCAGTTTGAAATGTGACACTTTTAAAAATGCGATTAATTTGAATTTCATTGAATTTTGTGCGCGTCACCCCTCACTCCCCTCAACGCCGCTCACAAGGACAACTCCATAAAATATTTAACATAATTAAACGGACGTGCCTCCGGCCTGACCAGCTGCATACCTTGTCAAGGACCTCACGCGGGTCAGAGCTCATATTTTAATTGAGTTATTTTTTTTTAATGGTGTGCAACAATAGGTGCAAATTCAAGCGAAATGTGTTAATTAAATGCAACGAGCGCCATGCGACAATATTTAATTAAGCGTCTGCAACTCACTTAGAGCGGGTTGCCACTTGCAGGCGGCACTCTTCAGTTTTCATTTTTCCACACCACGCAATGTTTTTTACACATATTTCGCAAATTTTCTTTGTTTCCTTTCTTAAGTATACAACGTATACAAATCCCAAGGGCTCTTCGCCGCAGGGTCATTGCGATTGTCCTCCAAACTGTCAGGAAATATTATTCTAAGCCTTCGAGCTCCTGCAGCGCAGCTAAAATGAAATGTTTGAGCTTCATGACATTTCAATATTGTTGATTGCTTCTGCATATTGTAACTTTTTATTTATAATTTTTTTTTGTCAATTTATTTGAAAGCCTGCATCAAAATTAGCACAAGTCATGATTACATGTTGAGTCCCAAGCTTTTTCAAATTTCGGTTAAACATCAAGGCCAAAAATAACGACAATTTCAAGCTTTTAATCTTCAACGATATTATAGCCTTTTTGTCTTTTGGGCATTAAATTAAAATGAACTCCAGCTATTCTGCATGCTTTTTCATTTTTAGGGTGACCATATCGTCTCCAAGTACCGCCAAAAAGTATGCCACGTATTTTTTGTAGGCACGCATGTTACTTGGAAATTTTCGCAAGTCATTTAATTCATGCACTCAGCCAGAGGCCAATTAACACGAACAGGATAATCAGCCATGGAAAACTCATTAGCGGCATTATGCAAGTGCAGTCCAAATATGTAAACAAAAAGTGGCTGCTGAACGGGGGGTGGTGGTGAAGTGTTAGGGCGGAAGTGTCAAAGCACATTGAATCATTATTAGCCGGCTTTTGTTGGGACAGCCGAGCAAATGTTTACTGTGCTCGTTGACACTTGCGATTAGCCAAATAATAAATATATTAAAATATAGAATATATAAGTTCTGGCCGCTTTCAGTTTTCGCACAAGAGCTCGCCCCCATACTCAAGCGATAAATCGAAGCATTCAAGGCATTCAAGGGTGCCGGCAATTAAGCCCATTTGAGAGGGTCACTTACAGCCGATTAACTAGCATTAACTGTGGAGTGAGTCCAAGTGTAATCGATCTTGATAGGGCTAAGGCATGGGCCGGACATGTAATGCTACAACTTGATAAGGCACAGCTCGCGCGCCTTGACTGTCGATTGCGTCAATTCCAAAATATGTGATATTTATACCTTTAGGAACATTTAATCACAGCTAAGGCATCTATAGCACATTCAGCTTGCATATATTCTAATCAGGGAAAGGCACTTGAAGGAGCCTATTTTTAACACCCACTATACCCCAGCAAAGTCGGATAGTAGTACTCGTCTTATTGCGCGGCACGAAATGGCAATTAAAAGTTAAATACTTTAAAAGCACTTGCAGAACTAGCTATCAGATGCTAATTTCTGTGCATAAGCTGGTTATCGAATGCCTGATTAGCTGGTTATGGACATGCGATATGGCCTATAAAAGACCACTGTTGCCCGAAATGCCTTATCAGTCGAAAGACACCCCCAGCAAAATGAAGACTATTGGGCTTTTGGCTTTCTGTGCGCTAGCGGGTAAATGTTACCATTTTCATGAATGAGAATTCTTAGCAATAACTTTGAACTCTGCAAAGCTTCGGCCTATGCTATCGAGGAGTCCGACCGTGTGAATGGCGAGAACGGCTGGTATGTGCCAAAGCTGGATGGCACCTTTGAGTGGGTTGATATGGATGAAGCTGAGGATTGGCTGGATCGCCAGGAGATGATGGAGGATCGGGGACTTACTACCACACCTGTCAAATTCTATTTGTTCACCAAATCGAACCCAACCAAGGGCACCAAGATCACAGCCACCAGCAAGTCTATCGATGCATCACACTTCAACCCCCAGCACCCAACCAGGTTAGTTTGATATTTATATAAAAAACGCCGATTATCCGGCAATGCTTGGGTCACATTTTTTTAAACCTATCTAAATATTTATCCTTTTCCATTATTTTCCGCCCGAGAGCTAGTTTAACTTCCTGCTCCATCTTGAACTCTCATTATCGCTCAGCGGAGATGATTTTTCGAAATCGGTGGATCTTGTTCTATTGGATATTAATAGTTTTTACTCATATTTCGCCCGTGCGGTGGACGTTTCAAAATTGTTTATTTTGGTTTAGTAAACAGATCTTTAAAAATATCTTCCAAACCCGATCCAACATGATTTGAATCTTTGCACATATAACCCGAACACCTACGTGTTAGATTTTCTGAAGAGTGTCCAGTAAGCTTTCTTGCGAGTACAGTGATCAGCAAATGGCCAATCAATCGGTCAGTCAGCAAGTCAGGACAAACAGTATTATAAATATATAAAAGATAAGCTTAGATATAGCCCCAGCTAATTCATATTTTTCACAGATTCATCATCCACGGCTGGACCCAGAGCCGCTCATCTGGCATGAACAAGGAGATTCGTGATGCCTGGCTGAGCCATGGTGATTTCAACATCATTGTTGTGGACTGGGCTCGTGCACGCTCAGTCGAATACGCTTCTTCCGTTTTGGCTGTGGGTACGGTGGGCAAGAAGGTCGCCAACATGATCAACTACCTACACTCTGACCATGGCATGTCTCTCGGCGATCTTTACGTCATCGGACACAGCCTCGGTGCTCACGTGGCCGGCTATGCTGGCAAGAACACCAATGGCCAGGTGCACACCATCATCGGCCTGGACCCCGCCCTGCCTCTGTTCAACTACAACAAGCCCAACAAGCGTCTGTCCTCCGACGATGCCTATTATGTAGAGTCCATTCAGACCAATGGCGGCACCTTGGGCTTCCTCAAGCCCATTGGCAAGGGCGCTTTCTACCCTAACGGTGGTAAGACCCAGCCTGGTTGCACCCTGGATGTGACTGGTGCTTGCTCCCATGGACGCTCTGTTACCTACTACGCCGAGGCCGTTACCGAGGACAACTTTGGAACCATCAAGTGTGGTGACTACGAAGCGGCTGTCAATAAGGATTGCGGCAGCACCTACAGCAGCGTTCGCATGGGCGCCGACACCAATGCCTACATGGTCGAGGGTGACTTCTATGTGCCTGTCAACAGCAAGGCTCCCTACGGCAACATTAACTAAATAACTAAATGACGCAATTAAAGAATTTACAACAAAAACAATCAACTCATGTTCTGTTATGGGAAATAGGTGTCTAATACCTAATCTAATAACGCGACTAACTAATCTAGTTGCGATTACGACCTTAATCATAAAGTTGAATGCCACACCTTGAAATATAAATCCCTCGCTTATACTTATATGCCTAGAAGTAAAACTGTCATTTTAGCAAACGATCAGAAATCACTTTATTCCCAGACAATATATGGATCTGTCGCCTGCCACGGAGTTCTTAAATCAGCCCGACATCAATGAATGCTCCCATTGATAAAGATTTATTATCAGTCAAATTCACGGAGGGAAGTGTGATTTTTAATCAACACAATCAACATTATATGACTAAATTTAATCAATCTGAAGTACTTTGAAAACGGCGTAGATGATGAGTTAAATTTTATTTTTTACTGGGACTATAAATAGGCAGGAACCGCATTCCCTATGACAGTTTTACTTCTGGTTCCAATATGAAGGCAGTTTTTATAGTTGGCCTAGTAGCGCTGTTGTCTGCAGGTAGTTAACCCTTTAAGTCCAGTAAGAAATTGCAGTTTCTGAAGTACTCTCTTGCCTTGCAGTGGGCGCCCTGCCCGTTGATGATCGCGTCAACGGTGAGAATGGCTGGTACATACCCAAAGAAGACGGCACCTTCGAGTGGATTGATTTGGACGATGCGGAAGATCTCTTGTCAAAGGGCGAGGATATCGAGGGTCGCATAAGCACCAATGCAGTCTCCTTCTATCTGTACACCCAGTCAAACCCTACTAAGGGTCAAGAAATTAAGGCCAAGGCATCATCCATAGATGATTCGCATTTTAACAAGGATCATCCCACGCGCATTGTTATTCACGGCTGGACACAAAGCTATAAGGACTCGATGAACACCGAAATCACCAAGGCATGGTTGTCTCGCGGTGACTTCAATGTCATCATTGTCGACTGGTCACGTGCTCGTTCCGTGGATTACGCTTCCTCTGTGCTGGCTGTGCCCGGCGCTGGTGCCAAGGTGGGAAACATGATCAAGTATCTGCAGGAGAACCACGATATGTCTCTGGACAGCCTGTACGTAATTGGTCACAGCTTGGGTGCCCAAGTTGCTGGTTACGCTGGCCAGACAGTTGGCGAAGGCAGAATTCACACCATTATTGGGCTAGATCCTGCCTTGCCTTTGTTTAGCTATAATAAGCCCAACAAGCGCCTGTCCTCCGATGACGCCTATTATGTGGAATCCATTCAGACCAATGGCGGCAAGCTCGGTTTCCTCAAGCCCATTGGCAAGGGAGCCTTCTATCCTAATGGCGGCCAGAAACAGCCCGGCTGTGGATTGGATGCCACTGGCTCTTGCTCGCACAGTCGCTCTGTGACCTATTACGCCGAGGCCGTCACCCAGGATAACTTTGGTACTATCAAGTGTGGTGACTACGAAGCGGCTGTCAAGAAGAATTGCGGCAGCACCTACAGCAGCGTTCGCCTTGGCGCCGACACTAATGCTTACATGGTCGAGGGTGACTTCTACGTGCCCGTGAACAGCAAAGCTCCCTTCGGCAATATCAACTAAACAACTGTAACGCAATTAAAAAATTAAAGAATTTCTAACAAAATAATATCAAATCAGGTTTTGTTATGAGAAGTAAATACTAATATCTAATCTAATAACTAGACTTACTAACATAGTTGCGTTTACGACTCAATTCAGAAAGGTGAATGCCATACCTTGAATTAGAAAACCCTCTAAGAATAAGATCTGGGTTTAAAGCGATTTCTAATCGTTTGCTAAGGTGACAGTTTTACTTCTAGGTGTATAATTATATATAGGTTTATACTTATATACCTAGAAGTAAAACTGTCATTTAAGCAAATGATTAGAAATCACTTATAACCACACAATACATGGATCTGTCGTTTGCCACGGAGACTTTAAATCAGCCCGATATCAAAGTATGCTTCCACTAATAAAGATTATTATTAATAAAAATATCATCAGTGAAACTCATACAAGTAAGTCTGATTTTTAATCAATGCAATATGACCAAATTAAAAACGGCGAAGATGATGAGCTTAAACTATTAATAGCTGGAACTATAAATGTTAGTTTTATTTCCGGTACCAAAATGAAGACAGTTTTTATAGTTAGACTAAAAACACTGCTGTCCACCGTTAGTTAGCTGCGTTAGTTAGTGATTTATTACAGATCTGAAGAATTCTTTTGACTTGCAATAAGCGCTCTGGCCGAGTGAGAATGGCTGGTACGTACCGAACGGACGGCACCTTCAAATGAATTGATTTGCGGGGAAGATTTGTTGTCAAAAGGCAATCATAAGAATGCTTATGATGTCTCCTTCTATCTGTAGAGAGGAGGGTCAAGAGGGTCAAGAAATTAAGGCCAATGCATTATCCATACATGATTCGCATTTCAACAAGGGTCATCCTATACGGATTGTTATATTGAAATGAAAATTCCATAAGAATTGCGCCATAAGCACCGACGTTATTGAAGAATGCATTTCCCACACTATGGGATATGGCAGAGTAATGTGAATATTTGTGCTTCAGTGTATAAATGCACACTAAGAAGCTAGCATGTTGACTCTGGCAGCTCAAACTTGTTGTATAGGAAGTTAAAACCACATATGCATAATCAGCGCAAATAATAAGATTTTAGCTTAACTTAGCCAAGCGTGGAGTCAAAGGTGTTGAACCAAATTAGTTAAACATTTGTAACGGTTGCTATTATAAAACCCAACACTTATATCTACATAAGGGGAAAAACTGCCAACAGATTCGAAAGCCTGGTTTACGACCCAAAATGAAAGTTTTCCTTGTACTAACTGCTCTGCTAGCCGCCGGTAAGTCACACTTTTATTTTTATAAGATAATGCATCCTTATGTATCAGCCACTTCAGGCACCTCCCTTTCCACTAAGGAGCGCATTCATGGCGAGAACGGCTGGTATGTACCGAAAATAGATGGCACCAGAGAGTGGATGGATCTGCAGAAGGCCAAGAAGCTGTTGGTCAACGATAAAAGATTCCTTTACGACGCTGATGTCTCCTTCTATCTCTACACCAGATCAAATCCAACCAATGGCGAGGAAATCAGCTCCTCGGAAGAGTCTATATATGATTCGCACTTCAACAAGAAACATCCCACGCGTTTTGTCATTCATGGCTGGACTCAGAGCCACTCAGACTCAATGAATACCAAAATCACCAGGGCTTGGCTGGCGCGTGGTGATAACAATATCATTGTTGTGGATTGGGAGCGGGCTCGCTCCGTTGACTATGTATCCTCGGTGGTTGCTGTGCCCGATACTGGCGTCAAGGTGGGTGAAATGATCAAGTACCTGCACGATAGACACGGCATGTGCCTAAAAAGCCTAATAGTCATTGGTCACAGTCTGGGCGCCCATGTTGCTGGTTATGCTGGCAAGACCGTTGGTAGTGGTCGTATCCATACCATTATCGGATTGGATACTGCTCTGCCCCTCTTCAGCTATAACGAGCCTAATCGTCGCCTGTCTTCCGATGATGCCTTCTACGTGGAGACCATTCACACCAATGGCGGCGTTTTAGGTTTCCTGAAGCCCATTGGCAAGAGTGCTTTCTATCCCAACGGCGGCATCCGACAGCCGAAATGCGGTTCCGTCGGCTACAACAGCTGCTCCCACAAACGCTCTGTCACCTACTATGTCGAAGCCGTCACCCATAACAACTTTGCAGCCATCAAATGCAGCGACTACATATCAGTTATGGAAAAGGATTGCAGCGGCACCTACAAACACGTTCGCATGGGGGCCGTTACCAACGCGAATAGGGCTGAAGGCACCTACTACGTTCCTGTGAAGCGGAGAGCACCCTTTGGCTACAACAAACTACCAACTGATTTGTAGAAGAGTGTATTTTCTTGCAATATTTCAAATATAATCGTTTTGGTTATGGTATAATTCCTAATGTTTCTTATTAACAATCAGCGTAACTAACTTAATTTTAGTCATGTGTAACGTGTTGATAACTGCTTTAAGCTAATCAGTTTAATATTTTTAAGATTCGGTATTATTTTTACAATTTAAAAAAAAACGAGTTGAGATCCAGAATGGAATTCCTTAGCTTTCAAGTTAGAAATAAAAAAGGCACAATTTATCTCAAGCTCTACAGCAGATCAGATCCCAATGACGGCCTGAACACGTTGAAAATGGCTAAAAAATATATTGCTGTTCTGCAAATGTATTGAACTAACAGAAAGAAGCATCCCCGACTCCATAAAGTATATATATTTTCTTGCTCAGCATCAAGGGACGAGACAATCTGGACATGAACATCTGTCTGTCCGATCGTCTGTGCGTCCCTATGTATTTACGCAAAAATCTCAGAACCTGTAAAAAAGGGACACTTGAAACGCATATTTCCCCGCGGAGATATGACGCTTGAAGGCGACATAACTCCGCTCATCTAAAAACTACATTATTTTGCGCGAAGATATGCAGAGATATGTCGTGCGATATGATGTCGTTACCCACTTAATTCTTGGTATGGCTGTGGAGTGTGAAGCGGAAACGAAATTGAATGGGAATTCTGAGATCGAGTCCGATAAGAGAGAAGCAGCCCGGCTGTGGATTGGATGCCACTGCTCCCACAGTCGGTCTGTGACCTATTACGCCGAGGCCACTCCCCAGGATCACTTCGGAACCATCGAGTGCGGTGACTACCAGGCGGTTGTCAATAAGAATTGAGGCAGCACCTTTAGCAGTGTTTGCCTTGGTGCCGACACCATTGCCCACCATGGTTGTGGGTCATTTCTATATGCCCGTGAACGACTAGGCTCCATTCAGCAAAATCAACTAGACGACTGCGTCTAAAAACGTATATCCTTCTGAGGCTGTTCTATTAAATCATAATGTACTATCAGCTCAAACTTGTATGGGAAGTTAAAACCACATATGCATAATCAGCGCAAATAATAAGATTTTAGATTAAGTTAGCCAAGCGTAGAGTATAAGGTGTTGAACCAAATTAGTTAAACATTTGTAACGGTTGCTATTATGAAACCCAACACTTATATCTACATAAGGGGAAAAACTGCCAACAGATTCGAAAGCCTGGTTTACGACCCAAAATGAAAGTAATCCTTGTACTAACTGCTCTGCTAGCCGCCGGTAAGTCACACTTTTATTTTTATAAGATAATGCATTTCCTTATGAATCAGCCACTTCAGGCACCTCCCTTTCCACTAAGGAGCGCATTCATGGCGAGAACGGCTGGTATGTACCGAAAATAGATGGCACCAGAAAGTGGATGGATCTGCACAAGGCCAAGAAGCTGTTGGTCAACGTTAAAAGATTCGTTTTCGAAGCTGATGTCTCCTTCTATCTCTACACCAGTTCAAATCCAACCAATGGCGAGGAAATCAGCTCCTCGGAAGAGTCTATATATGATTCGCACTTCAACAAGAAACATCCGACGCGTTTTGTTATTCACGGCTGGACGAAGAGCTATTTGGACTCGTTGAGCCGTATAATTACCAAGGCCTGGCTGTCCAGTGGTGAATACAATATCATTGTTGTAGACTGGGCGGGTGCTCGCACTAACTACCTCGCCGCTGTGCTGGCTGTGCCCGGTGTTGGCGCCAGGGTGGGTGATATGATCGAGTACCTGCACGATAGTCACGGCATGTCCCTGAAGAGCCTGATAGTCATTGGTCACAGCCTGGGCGCCCATGTTGCTGGTTATGCTGGCAAGACCGTTGGTAGTGGTCGTATCCATACCATTATCGGATTGGATCCTGCTCTGCCCCTCTTCAGCTATTACGAGCCCAACCGTCGTCTGTCTTCCAATGACGCCTTCTACGTGGAGACCATTCACACCAACGGAGGCATTTTTGGTTTCCTCAAGCCCATTGGCAAGGGCGCCTTCTATCCCAACGGCGGCATCCGACAGCCCAACTGCAGTTTAGTCGGATTCTGCTCCCACGTTCGCGCAGTCATCTACTATGCTGAAGCTGTCACCCGCAACAACTTTGCAGCCATCAAATGCAGGAACTTCATAGCAGCTATCGGAAAGGATTGCGGCAGAACCTACACCCACGTTCGCATGGGGGCCGTTACCAACGCGAATAGGGCTGAAGGCACCTACTACGTTCCTGTGAAGCAGAGAGCACCCTTTGGCTACAACAACCTACCAACTGATTTGTAGAAGACTGTATTTTTGTGAAATATTTCAAATATAATCGTTTTGGTTATGGTATAATTCCTAATGTTTCTTATTAACAATCAGCGTAACTAACTTAATTTTAGTCATGTGTAACGTGTTGAAAAATGCTTCAAGCTAATAAGTTAAACATTTGTATACCCCTGCAAAGGGTATTATAATTTTGTCTCGAATGTGAGACGCATAGAAGGAGATGTGACCCAATAAAGTATATATATTCTTGATCAATATCAGCAGCCGAGTCGATATAGACATGACCGTCTGTCCGGCTTACTGTTTCTATGCGAAATAGTCTCTCAGTTTTTTTTTTTCTGTTGCACGCAGTACATATGTCGGAACCAACTGGATCGGACCACTATATCATATAGCTCCCATAGGGACGATCGGTCGAAGAGTAGGCACTTGTATACAAATCTTTTTTGTTTACCATAATATCTTAACCAAATTCGGCATTTATTAGTTTAACTATGCTTCTCATATATATATAAATATAATACCCTATCAACATTGAACCACTATATTAAATAGCTGCTTAAGTTGTATTTCAAGATATATTGACCAAACTCGGCACTTGTAAGTTTCAGTATATTCCCTACATTTATGCAAAATCTTGCTTACATCGGACGATTATATCATACAGTTGCGATAGGAGCAATCGGTCGAAAAGTAGGTTCTTGTAAAAAAAACTTTGTGATTTTCAAAATATCTTAATTGTACTAGGCATTAACTACTTTCCGCTTAATGAGCATTATGAAAACTCGAGAACTCCCGACAAGGTCCTCTTACTTGTTTAGTTTGACATTAATCAAATATTTTTTCAATTTCTGTCTTGCTGATAAATGCGTGCTAGTGGTACGATAGAAAACACAACATGTAATCACTTCACATGGGATCTATGGGACGGATAAGACTTGTAATAAAGTTAAGCATGATAAAGCCCATTCATAGTTTGGCATCAGCTATCTAAAATGAATCAAAAATTAGATTGTCGTGTCAACGAACTAATTTAAAGATGCACTCAGGTAGCGACCTTATCAGCGTATTTGGCAAATGGAACTGCCAAAGTGGGATTTCCTACAGAAGCATAGGAATTATCTGATTGAGCGTTGACAAGATTAAAGTGTTATCAAAATCTGAAAGTGATTAGTTTGTTTGGGGAGTGGCTATAAAAGTGAGCGAACTGCCAACCAAATAGCAAAACTAGTTGAGATCACAGAATGAAAGTATTCCTTGTTCTAGCAGCAGTGTTGGCCGCTGGTAAGTCCCAACTTTATCCTAATAACAGAATGGAATTACTAACGTAGTTGGCCTTTCAGTCAGTGCCCTGCCCATTCAGGAGCGCATTCATGGCGAGAATGGCTGGTATGTACCGAAAATAGACGGAACCAGTGAGTGGATGGATTTGGATGTGGCCGAGGAGCTCTTGGCCAATGGTGAAATGATGGAGGGCCGTATTAGCACTAATGCCGTCTCCTTCTACCTATACACCAAATCAAATCCCACTGACGGCAAGGAAATCAAATCCTCGGAATCATCTATTCATGATTCGCACTTCAACAAGGATCATCCCACGCGTTTTGTCATTCATGGCTGGACTCAGAGCCACTCAGACTCGATGAATACCGAAATAACCAGGGCTTGGCTGTCGCGAGGTGATTACAACATCATTATTGTGGATTGGGCGCGTGCACGCTCTATTGACTATGCATCCTCGGTGATTGCTGTGCCCGGTGCTGGCGCCAAGGTGGGTGAAATGATCAAGTACCTACACGATAGTCACGGCATGTCCCTGGACAGCCTGATGGTCATTGGTCACAGCCTGGGCGCCCATGTTGCTGGATATTCTGGCAAGACTGTCGGTGATGGTCGTGTTCATACCATTATTGGTCTGGATCCTGCCCTGCCCCTATTCAGCTATGACAAGCCCAACAAGCGTCTGTCCTCCGACGACGCCCATTATGTGGAATCCATTCAGACCAATGGCGGCAAGTTGGGTTTCCTCAAGCCCATTGGCAAGGGTGCCTTTTATCCCAACGGTGGCAAGAAGCAGCCTGGCTGCGGTGTCGACGCTACCGGTTCTTGCTCCCATGGCCGTTCTGTGACCTACTATGCTGAGGCCGTCACCGAGGACAACTTCGGCTCAGTCAAGTGTGGCGACTACGAGGATGCAGTGGCTAAGGAGTGCGGCAGCACCTTCAGCAGCGTTCGAATGGGTGCCGATTACAATTCCTACATGGTCAGCGGTAGCTTCTACGTGCCCGTAAACAGCAATGCGCCTTTCGGTAAAATTGAATAGGTCTTGCTATCTGTATATCTGAATAAAGTGTCAACTGAACAATCGAATTTTTAAACTATGTGTACTCCTAGCCGTATCGCCATCGAGATACGATACTCTGACAGACCACTTGGGGTCCGTGCGCTGCGAATCAAGTGCATGGGCACACGTCAGAGATTAGCGAAACGCGTCACTCGGTGGGGGCATGAATGGGGATCAGTTTGTTTTTATTTTACGTGTAGCACATTCTATAAATACAATGGGAGAGTTGTTTACGCTTGCATTGCTTGTGCTGACAGGTGAACTGATTGGCTTGGAATTCATCAGGCGATGAGATTTTTGATTGCGAATACTGATAAAACCTGCTTGGGCCAGTGAATGGGAAAAGAGTTTGAAACTTGTCGGAGCATGGCATTAGGCAGAAAAGTAATCCTGAAAGGGGCAACAGCTCAACCAGCATGGCTCAACTATTAGTAGCTCACATTTCCTTGCGAAGCATGCTGCCCACTTTGACAACTTCAAGAATATCATGAACTACAAGAATATCAACGCCTGGCTGGAATTGAGGGAGCTCAACAGGATTGGGTAGATGCTCGACAGAGAACACTGTAAGTACAGCGACGTCTGTGGAAGGCTTTGGAATGGATCAGAGGACAGCGCACTTGTCAATGCTCTACAGATACAGCTGGACAATCTGTGACAGTGTGCTTGCTATGCGTGGTCACAAAAGGCTCATAATTGTGGGCTTAGACGCGGTTAAGCCTTTTCAGTTGTGCCTCTGCAGCTATAGCAAGCCAGCCTAGTCTGGCCAACACAGATGCGCACTCTATGGAATTGGACTGTGTTAGACCCATTGCCGGAGGCACCTTTAATCCCTGCTGTGAAGTGTGACAGTTCGAGGCTGACTTTAATGTGCTCCTCAAGAATGAGGCTCCTTTTGGCCGTATTTGCTTAGCTGGCGAAACAAATCAATTTTCTGTATCTGGTAAACGATTGCGTTTACCTATCAGCGCATGGGCGTAGAAAGAGGGTGAAAGCCCCATTTGAGGCCTATTTTTATCGCTAACATCCCAATCAGACACGTGTCTGTATGTGAAGTGGCCAAACAATCAGAACACATGATCTCTACCGTGTAGAGTGCCCGGCTAAGAGATACCCTGTATCCAGCTACTGTAATGCTCAGCGCAATGGCTTTACTTCGACTCCCTTCACTTGGAAAAGGCTTTCTTGAATAACTGCTGTATCCATATCCGAACTATTATTTGACTTAAAGGACTTTAAAAGGCATTCAAATGTGGGTAACAAAAAGCAATACTTTATTATGTGTTTTATTTTTGCGCTGGAATCGACCAGTGCTTTCTGATCTCTACCAAGCGAATGACTAAGGGAATTTTGTGTAGTTACTATTATGTAACTTATATGATGTATACAATTAAGTTATTTACAATAATGGGGAAGGATATGATTAAATAATACTCCTCGTAGGTAGGTCGTCGGGGTGCAGCCTTCGGAGGCACCTCTCACTAATGGGGTCAGCTCAATGGTTCCTCCATCGAACCGTAGCCCCTGGCAACTGTCTGGGCGCCGCGTGAATGTGACGCAAGCGGACTTAGAATCAGTGCTACATTATGAAACGGGGGAAAGAATCCAAATCCGCTATTGGAGATCAAATTATCAATTGCTTATTGGATCGATTTAAACTACACGTAATGAAATATCGAATAAAATGAAATTAACTTGATATACGAATGGTAATCGAGGGCCTGCGGAGACTAGATAGGCTCGTCTGTTGATCAAGCATATGCAAATTGTGTGTTCGTAGGTGCATCCTGCACAGAGGTAACATACCCTATATTAATAATTAAGCCTTGGTACAGGGCATAAACAATGGCAATATCAAAAGTCAATGTTCATTAGATTTTAAACTTGTTAAATAGTTGCGGGCCGATTGCGTCGCCAAGCTGCTCGGTATCATACCTATCAATAGAAGTAGGGGTGGGCCGCTTATCAATCAATTGGCAAAATCTCAAGTGGCTCTGCAGAGCCTGCCTGTGATTTGATAAACGGCGTCCATATAAAGCCCCAGCCAGCGACAGGTCCGAACATCAGTTTAGGTGGACTTTTGTTTAGCGTCATGAAACTGTTTTTGGCTCTCGCATTCTGCGTGTTGGCGGGTAAATTTCTGGAAGAATGTGTGCCTTAATCCAGAAGTGCCAATCCAATCTCTTTAATTTATTCACAGCCAGCGCCGTGGAGCATAAGATTAATGGTGAGAACGGCTGGTATGTGCCCCAGGCTGATGGCACCTTCGAGTGGGTGGACAAGGATGTGGCCGACGCCTATCTGGCCGCCCATGCTGAGCGTGAGCGCAGCCTGTTGAATCCCGTTACCTTCTATCTGTACACGAAATCCAACATGTACTCACCCCAGGAAATCAAGGCCACCAAGTCAAGCATCTCCGCTTCAAACTTCAATCCTAATAATCCCACTCGCTTCACCATCCATGGCTGGACCTCCAGCGCCGATGACTATGTCAACTATGGTATCCGCGATGCCTGGTTCTCGCACGGCGACATGAACATGATCACCGTTGACTGGGGTCGTGCCCGCTCTGTAGATTATGCCTCCTCGGTCTTGGCCGTGCCCGGAGTCGGTGAGCAGGTTGCCGACCTGATCAATTTTCTGCGCACCAACAATGGTCTGTCCCTGGACAACACGATGATCATTGGCCACAGCTTGGGCGCTCATGTGTCTGGTTTCGCCGGCAAGAACGTCAAGAACGGTCAGGTGCACACCATCATTGGCCTGGACCCCGCTCTGCCCCTCTATAGCTACGACTCGCCCAACAAGCGTCTCAGCTCCACCGATGCCTACTATGTGGAGTCCATTCAGACCAACGGCGGCACCTTGGGCTTCCTCAAGCCCATTGGCAAGGGCGCCTTCTACCCCAACGGTGGCAAATCCCAGCCTGGCTGCGGTGTTGATTTGACCGGCTCCTGCGCCCACAGCCGCTCTGTGATCTACTATGCTGAGGCCGTCAACCAGGACAACTTCCCCACCATGCGCTGCGGTGACTACGAGGCTGCCGTCTCCAAGAACTGCGGCAGCACCTACAGCTCTGTGAGAATGGGCGCCGTTACCAACGCCTACATGGTGTCCGGTGACTACTATGTGCCCGTCAACAGCCAGTATCCTTATGGCTATGGCAACTAGACTGAATATGTTTATTAAACATTAAAATTGTATAGCAAAAGCTAAAGCTTATTGAGTTGCGCTTCATTGTCACATCCATTAGAGACGCGTTAAGTTAACGCACGTTTGTATTTCAATATACAAATATTTTTTATGTACCTATGAAGCAGATATAGATTAAGTTTACTTGTTCTATACTTAGGACAATAACAGCATGTTGCAAATAATATAAACTCTACAGTGTCAAAGATTCTGTCAGTTCATTAAATCAACCTATTAGCCTACACTGAATATTTCTCTACTACAGGGTATTCATATGTTGAGCAGAGCCTAACTGCTGCTTTAATTTATACAAGCTTCCGAAAAGCTTTCACTCAAATCAAAATATGAGTCAATTTAGGTCTTAGCCCATTGAGTGTTAAATATATGACTTATACTCAATATGTATTAGTACACAGGAAAAAATTTACCCAATATTTTATTCTTTATTCTTGATATTCTTATTAATATTATTATCAATGTTTGTAGAAATATTATTACCACTAATATTATTATTATTATTATTTCTTTTATTATTATTACAAATACACAATATCCTGGGAATTCGAAGGTTGGGATTCTCATCCTAGAAGTCGAAGTAGACGCTCCCACTCCTCTCTCTCTCTTTCTCTCACTTCATTTAGAATTAGAAGTTTAGTTTCCACTTCGACGAACGAATGATTTATTAGAAATGCATCCAATAGAAAAATAAGATGCACCATATTGTGCACAATTATTTCTTCTTCCGTACTATTTAAATGCTAGATTTTAAGCTCTTAATTAAGTGCTTAATACAGTTTTGGTTTTTAGAGTACAATTCCGCCCTGTGCATTGAGTATTCGTAAGTGCTCAATGGATATTACAAGCAATCTAATCGGTGCTTGCCAATCTATCGCCTGGAGAGATTTGCACTTGGATTTAATTTATGGTAGCCGATCCAATTTGGCAAATTCCTATAAATACTGGCGTTAGCGGCGTTAAGTGTATCAATATAAAAGCAACCATGACATTGTGCTTGTTCCTAACAATTTGCGTGCTGACTGGTAAGTACTTTGCGCTTCTATTAAAGTTCATTTGACTCATCATGATTTCAGTCAGTGCACTGCCCATTGAGGAGCAAACGGGACGCATCCACGGCGAGAACGGCTGGTATGTGCCACAGGTGGGCGACGACTTCAAGTGGTTGACCACGGACGAGGCCCAAGGTCAGCTGGCCGCCTATGAAGCGCTAAACGACATGGAGATCGCTGAGCGCATTTCCCTGAACTCGGTTAACTTCTATTTGTATACGCAGCGTAATCCCAAGGAAGGACAGCTTATCAAGGCCACGCGCAGCTCCATTGATGACTCCAACTTTAATGCCGCAAATCCCACCAGGTAGTGCATGTCCGTGGCAAAGTCGCCCGTTTGCTCATGCTTGGATTACATTTACAGATTTACCATACACGGCTGGAACTCCAATTACAAGGACGGCGTCAACAGCGGCGTGCGCGATGCTTGGTTCCTATCGGGCGACTACAATATGATAGCTGTGGATTGGTCGCGTGGCCGTTCGCTGGAATATGCCTCCTCTGTGGCAGCCGTGTCGGCAACGGGCAAGAAAATTGCCAGCCTAGTGGATTTTCTGGTGACGGAGTACAGCATGTCCCTGGAGACGCTCGAAGTGGTGGGATTCAGCCTGGGTGCACATGTCGCCGGCTATACAGCCAAGCATGTGTCCAGCGGCACTGTGCAAAAGGTGGTGGGTCTCGACCCCGCCTCACCGCTGTTCAGCTACAACAAACCGGAAAAGCGTTTGTCCAGCACTGACGCCATCTACGTGGAAACCATTCAGACAAATGGCGGCACTATGGGCTTCAGTAAGCCTATTGGCCGTGCTACTTTCTATCCGAATGGTGGCAAATCACAGCCTGGCTGTGGCCTCGATATAACCGGCAGCTGCGCCCACACACGCGCCGTCTCCTACTATGTGGAGTCGCTGCGAATGAACAATTTTCCCACCGTCAAGTGTCCCTCATATCAGGAAGCCCACAAAAAGGATTGCGGAAGCACCTACAGCACGGTGCGCATGGGTGCGATTGAGAACGAATATATTGCCGTTGGAGACTTCTATGTGCCTGTTAACAAGGAGTCGCCGTATGGATTGGGTGAGTCCGTCGAAAATGGTCAGGATGAAAGTACAACCCCGCAGCCCACTACGGTTACGGATGGAAATGATGCGACAACTACGCCAGCCGATGATACTACAAACAGCTCCAGTGCAACAACCCCTGAAGAAATTATAACAACGCCCGCGCCCGAGAATGACAAAGACAACGGTCGCAAGACGAACATTTATATCCTCAATTTAATATTCGTCAATGCGCAAATCAACAAGCACAACAACTAATGGCCCAAAAGTGGGCTGCCAAGAAGGCTTCCAAGTTGATCAATAAAGTGAAAATGAAATCGAACCGAACTTAATTGCAGATGGATAGCCTTTGATGTGCGCTTAGCAGCAGCAGCAGCAGACTTGCCACGCCCACAGCTCAAGTTTCTTACAATTCAAAATGTGTAGGCAAGGGTATAAGAAAGTTATACGAAGCTTACAGGCAGAAGGTAGTCCTAAAAAAATATACATATATATTCCTGACCAGCAGTATATTCAGCCTGTATGTCCATGCGCACATGTCCGTATTCGCATATATAGTTATGTCTGTCTATTTATTTGAATTTATCACCATTTAAGTGATTTCTATAAATATATTTTCTTGGTTTCAATTTATCGAGCATAGCTCTGGAACTTACAGACTTTAATACACAACGATTTATTCCTGAATTTTTCGTTTAGCATACGCAGTTGAAAAGCATTTCGTTTAATCTATGTAAGAAAGTAATTCTTAGAGATACAGTCTGCATATTTGGCAGATACATGCACTGAAATGCCACGTGTTTATTGGGATGTCGAGTACAGGGTGCTTTCTAGTCAGCCACTCTCGAGTAGAGCACTCTTACCTGTTGTTATCTAAGTTTGTGCCCGGCATTAATTACGAAATCCTCGCTGTAATCGAAAGCACTTTGATGTATTTTACTGCAAGCTAAAAGCTAGCAATTGGTTTGAGGCTGCACTGCGGGAATACTCTTAATTAAGACCAGATTCAATCTGTTGCCCAAAGACATTGAAACATGTGCATAACAGCGAGCCGTGTTCTTATTTTCCATTGGCTTTAAGTTACTGCCAATTACCGAAAAGATTCAATCTCTAATCATCTTATTCCTAATTAGGACACAACTGATTTAATACCAAGCCGAATTAAACTGCTTCTAGTTAACGCTGCTTACATTAAGTAACTTCTGCCATCTAGCTATCTAGCCAGGCGTTAGATTTATATGCAAGCTGTTCATTCAATTAGAAACACATGTTATAATTCTTGTTTTCCATTAACCACCAGAATAGCTCAGTTAATAATCGCAGCTGTTCTAAAAGCTATGTCAGCAAAAACTTTGCATCTAGCCTTGTGGAGCTTATGAAAAAAGCCTCTATTAATAAAACCCAGAGAATATATTTTGCTTATCGTTCTCTAGGCCATAATTTGTTTCGTTGTAACTTAATTAATATAAATGTATGTGTGAACGAACTAAAGGAATTTAACATATTATTATTTATTTAATTACGAATAGCTGGTATTGCCCTTAGTTCGCCTGCGTTATATTTACATTTCTCATCAAAAATACAGGCTTTTATACCTACATCAAAGTAAGTGCCATTTACACATTTCTGTGCAATGAAATCGCCAGCGATGCACTCCATATAGGCAGCACAGTCGTCAGGGTCTGTCTCCCGTTCACCTTCCTCACATTGATCTGACAATGGAGTACAAATACCATCATCGTCCACGACGCAGCTCTGAAGAGTTGTGTGAAAATAGCTGCCATATGAGCAGAGTTTCTTAACCAATTCGCCGTTGATACACTGCAAATAACCAGAGCAGTCCTCGGGATCATGTCTAACCTCATGATTTGCACATTTGTTACCAAGCGACGAACAGATTCCACTCTCATCGATGAGACAGGTTTTTAAAGTGGAATTGTAATAGCTACCATTTGCACATATCATTTCTACCAGGACTCCATTGAGGCACTTTAGATACCCACAATTATTCTCGGGATCTACCTCAAGCTCCCCCTCTGAACATTTTGCAGGAATAGGAAAACAGATTCCATTTTCGTCAATCTCACAGGTCTGCAGAGTGGCATTGAAAAAGCTACCAATGGCACACTTCTTTTCGATGTAGCTTCCATTTACACATTCCAAGTAACCAGAACAATCCTCAGGATCCTCCTCCAGTTGACCGTCCAAGCATACAGGAAGGGTAGAACATATTCCGTTCTCATCGATCTCACAGATCAGGAGGCTGGAATTGAAGTAGCTACCAATATCGCACTTCTCCTCCTCAAGGCTACTGTTAATGCATCGTAAGTAACCGCAACCATTACCGGGAATCTCCTTAATCTCATCTTCTAAACATTTTTCAGCAGCTGGAGTACAGACTCCATTCTCATCGATTTGACAGACCTTAAGAGTGATATTGAAAAAGCTGCCAGTGGAACACTTTTCCTCGACGAGGCTTCCATTAATGCAGTTCAGGTAACCGGCACAATTCTCAGGATCCTCCTGCAGTTCACCTTCCGAACAATTCCCGGGAAGGTTAGAACATATTCCATTCTCATCGATCTCGCAGATGCTCAGACTGGCATTGAAATAGCTACCAATATCGCACTTCTCCTCCTCAAGGCTCCCGTTAATGCATCGCAAGTAACCGCAACTATTTCCGGGAATCTCCTTAATCTCATATTCTAAACATTTTTCAGGAGCTGACGTACAGACTCCATTCTCATCGATCGCACAGATCTTAAGCGTGGAATTAAAAAAGGTACCATTGGCACACTTTTCCTCGACAAGGCTTCCATTAATGCACTTCAGGTAACCGGAACAACCCTTAGGATCCTCCTCTAGTTCACCCTCTAAGCATTTTATTGGATTGGTAGAACATATGCCGTTCTCATCGATCGCGCAGATGCTCAGACTGGCATTGAAATAGCTACCATTGACACACTTTTCCTCGATAAGGCTTCCATTGACACATTTCAGGTAACCGGCACAATTCTCAGGATCCTTCTGCAGCTCTCCTTCCGAGCAATTCCCAGGAAGGGTAGAACATATTCCATTCTCATCGATCTCGCAGATGCTCAGACTGGCATTGAAGTAGCTACCAATATCACATTTCTCTTCCTTGAGACTGCCGTTAATGCATCGCAAGTAACCGCAACTGTTTCCGGGAATCGCTTCAATCTGGTCTTCCGAACACTTTCCAGATGCGGAGGCACAGACCCCATTCACATCGATGACGCACACTTCGTAAGTTGGATCAAAGTAGCTGCCGTTGGGACATGTTTGAATTACAATTGCTGAATTTAGACACTGCAAATAGCGGGCACAGTCATCTGGATGAGACTGGACAGTGCCCTCATCGCACTCATTGGGCTTGCCTAGATCGATGTTCAACGCTAACAGTGGACACCCCAATCCGAGTACGAACAATAAAAGAAGTACTATCCAATGAAAAATATTATAAGAAGTTGCCCGGCTAAAGCTCCAAAGTTTCTAGCTTACCATTGTTATTCCTCCAAACTAGCTGCGACAACATTTTCAAGAACTGAGTGCATTTCAACTTGGGGGCTGCTTTTATATTTTCTAACGCTCTTAACGTAATGAATTTCCCTGTTTGAATAGTTGTGCTTTGATAAGGAAATGCCAAGATGGGCCTTATCGAAGATTTTTAAGTGTTGCATGTGTCTAGTCATGCCGAAGTAAACAAATCTATTGCCATTTGTGCATCACATCGGAAATTACACAAGAACAAATATCAGAAAAATATCACCTGTAAAGCAATGCATTGCTTATAAGAAAAGATGGCAGGCAAAAACGAAAGCAAATGAAATTTACCGAGAAACAATATAGATCCATAACAATTCCGGTGTGACAAGTTTTTAAGCCTAATAATTCCTCTAAGGTTTTTCCACTCCCCAGGCAATTTAAGGAATTTCAAACAGATTTAATGGCTCAAAGGTGAAACGGCCCATACATATATTTGGATGATTTCGGACCTCTATATGATGACGTTGGTGTTCTTGCTAAAAAAAGAAAAAATTCATTTGAATAGGAATTTAGACGAGCCTGAAATTGTGTGGAATGCCAGAAATTCGTGTCGAGTGATTTGCATATTTCTTTCCTGCTTTCTCCGTCAGTTTTTCAATTTTTCAGTTAGCCCGCGCTGAGGTCCTTGTCTCGAAATGCCTCGCATTCATATTGTTTTACATTGGCCCCCAACGTCCCACACACACACACCTTTAACGCCTCAACTTGCCTTAAGGGCAGACCATCAATAATGCAGGGCACAATATTAACATGCCTAACGGCACCGCTGAGCATTTGTTGCTCGCCCCACCAACAAAACACCAAAAAAAAAAAATAAAGAAAATATAAAAAGACGTCTGCGAAAAGGTCAGACAGCTTAACGGCCCGAATGGAATTCCGTGCAATGCACCGACAGGAGACGTAGAATACACGGTTCGACGCTTGAGAGCTCATTACTCACCATTGCGAGGAGCTACACGTGTGGTAAACGGACTTGCCTACGGCGTGCTTAAAGCCTTTAAGCCCACGCAGCCATGCCACATCATTGTTTGTAATATTAATTTATCAAAAACTGTTCACAGTTGAACGCCTTCGGTTCCACTTGCCAGCATACGCAGGCTTCTGATACCCTGTATATACATATGCCCTGTATATGTAGGAAATGTGTCCGGCTAATTCAAACACTTCCCGGCTCTATCATCGGCGGACTTTGCTATCGTCTCAGTACCCCCAGTGTTTATTATATTTAATAAATATTCATTATTTTTAACTTTTTTATAATTTATTACAGCAGATTTCTAGCCGAAACGTGTTTTGTTTTGCGAGCGACTACAGTAATAAGCCCCAATGTTATTCGAAAATCTACATGTGGATACCAAAGTGAGTCAGCGTACCACAGTCTTGTACACAGAGAATATTCCCTAAGCTTGGCTCCAATACTATATATAGTCTATGGTCTCAAGCGTATAGAGAACAAAACGCCGGCAATAAATACTAATGCTGTTTGTGCTGATTTTCAAAAGGAAATTGTTTGGCTATTTTGAGCGCAAGTTGTTTTTATCCTCTAAGCTCATATAAAATGTGTAAAAATGGCTATATTGTTTTTGTCCTAATGTATGTAACAGACAAGACAACCTTGTATATGTTCTTGAGCAGGACGATGAGCTCTCAATCTGTCAGTCCACTGTGAAATCACTTCGATTTCACAAACTATAGAAAGTAGATGATGGAGATTTAATGCCATGTTTATAATATCTTAAAATACCGATTGGTTTTTTTAATGCATAGTTCGAGTTATATACCCTTAATTTCGTATGTGTGTTCTTGTACAGTATGTGCAGACTAAGAATATTTTACGTTCTGGTTACCTTTCGCACAATAAACACCGCAGTTAAGAAGCTAAAAAGGAAGCTACACTGCTTGTAGGGTGAGCCTGACGCTCATTTCAGGGTATCTTCTAATCGATACTTACTCTTACTTGCTTGTGCTGCCTTTTGGCCAAAAAGCTGCCCGACGTTTGGCTGAGTGGCCACAGCGGCTAATGAGGGTTGCCGCCGACCGCCACAACTAACACAAATGTGTCAACTGGCCATTGTTCTGTGGTGGTCCCCAATGACTTGGTCTTGGAATGTGGTCGAGCTCGTCGAAAGGTGCACTAGAGGACAACAGAGAATGCTGCGTAAAGGGACATTTGCAGTAAATGAAATTGGCAGCCGTCGTTTAAATGGATTGTTATGGTAAAGCATGCTGAAATAAAGGTAACATTACAAAAACTAAGTATCTAGATTTGTATTTGAACGCTTGAACAATCTTTTAGGGCCGTTGGGTTTCTTCAATTGGGACACCAGCGAACTGTTTCACAAAGCACCAACCACCCCCCCCCCCCCCCCCCCTTTTCCACCATTTAAGAATAGCCTGTAAATGCTGTTTACCCATGTCTTCAGCTTGGATGAAGCTCAATAGAAAACTAAACGCAATAAAACCCAACTACTTATCTCTCTGTCAAAAGGTCCTGCGAGGCATAAAGCTGCTCCGGCCTGACGCATTCTCAACCCAAATCGCGCACAATACGCATAAAATTTCTAATTTTATTCGAATTAATTTATGATTACATTTTATTATATAGTAGTCAACCCCCGAATGCCAGTCAAGCGTGCAGATCGGGACGCAGTGCAGAGGGGCCGTCTGTTGTATGCCTCACTGCACTTAAGCACGGGTATGTAAATGTTTATGATGCATTGGAAAAATGCGAAATGTCTGGAAAATAAATATAAAAAATGGCTAAGATAAACGCGACTCCTGAACCAGTAGTCAAACATAGCCGAAATTTCAGATGAAAAAGAAACTGTTGTCTTCGAGGTGCCGCACTTAAAATACCCTTTTCAGTCATGGGACTTTTGCTCAATATGTACAATGGAGTGCGTCTTAGCTTGTAGCTTTGCTCAATAAACTCATGACCGCCTATGCAAATAACTTGAGAAGCTATTATAATACAAATTTGCTTTTTGTGGCAGGTCGAGCTAAGGGCGATTGGGTCGAACCAATTTATATAGGGTGGACATAAGAATAACGACTTGAAAATGAAGTACTTTTGTTTTTCGAAATATGTCGATTAAACTTGCCATACAACAGATATGCCATATGCAAAGAGAGGAAGGTACAGTATCTAAAAGTAAAAGATATTTGATCTATATATACTATTCTAGAAGCTACATGAAGAATTTGGTGACTGTAGCTCTTTAATCCTAAGAGATTAGCTGAAATGCAGGATTTCAATAGTGATCTTAATCGACTGCTTGTAAACGGGGGCAACTTATCGATTACCGGTTTACAAGCAGTCGATTAAGATCACGATTACCGTTCAGACGGATAGACGAACGAACGGACAGACAATGACAGACAGGGTATAAAAATATGCCCCGCATATGCTTTATGTCAGCAAGGGTATTAAATCTTCGAATTGTTATTAAGTAAGTCAGCTTTTGACAATTTGCTGATATGAAGCAAAGTGAGCTTTTTGCAAAATTCATTATTAAATTGTAATGTGCTCTACATGTTCACATAATAAGCAAATGGAACTGTAATCCGGTAAATCCATAAGAATAGCCACAAGATATAAGCAAAATAAAACATTCAAAGATGTTTGCCCAACCTAAATCGCATTGTTCGTGATGTGTGTAAGCAGAACAAGCACAACTCTGATAAACATGCTTAGCCGGAGGCAAACAAACAAATGATAAAATCATGGCATATTCCGCATACGCCATGTTAGCCCAGGCTACCTGTCGAAGTTGTTTCCACAGACTCTTGCAGTTATTCACAATAATTCTAATCACATTTCAAAAATAAAAATAAATACAATAAAGTATATTTCGCCCTCACGAATGACCACGGAAAATGTTGAAAACACAAAGGAGCTGGAGGCAGAGATAATAAAAAATGACAAAATGAGGGAAAACTTTGACGTTTGCAGAAATATGAGCGAAACCAAGCCGCAATAAGGAAAAAAGTAAAGAGTAAACTTTGTCAAGGAATTTTTAATATGGCCGCTTGAAAGTTGTATCATTTCGAGGCGGTTTCATCTTTTTTTTTTCCTTCGCAGCTGAATATATTCAAAGGAGCTCGATGCATCTGGCAGATTGTTTTTGGGATTATTTTTAAAGCTGTTCTAAATATGTAAAAGCAAACCACGTGCAAAAGAGTTTACTCTCTCTCGCCCACTGTATCACTCTCTCTCTCTCTCACTCTCTCTATGAGTGTTTTTCTGGCATGAAAATTGCATTTTATAAACACCAGACCGGTTTATTATCACGAGTTGCCAACTATTTTAAAGTTCTTTGCGTTGTGTGTGTGTGTTTGGGCTGTGTGTTTTGTATATGCATGTGCAAACAAATTGAATTTGTTGCTGTCGTTCTAGCTATTGCTCAGTTTCAAAAGGTGTTCTTGTTGCATATTGTTAAGTGCTTTGAAAAAAATTTAACTAAAATCAACTGAGGCCGCACAAGAGAACCAGGTATGGCCGCGAGTGCTCGACTTGAAGATGTCTTATGCCCAGCGTCGTGCCGCCTACCAACATTCTAGCTAACTTCAGACACGCACCAGCACACAGGGGGTGTGCTTCTTCTTTCCTTGGCCCACTATGGGAAATGCATTCCTGATTAACTTAAATGTTAGCGACAGCCAAATTTAAGAAAATAGCACAGCTCAGGAATGTGATTTTTTTTTTGTAGGGGAAATGAGGGGTTTTTCGCAAAGTGAAATGTTCCGGATGTGTACGTAGCTCTTCCTATTTTGTATATTTTTAAAATGCAGGGAGATATCGAAAGGAAAAGTTGAGCACGTTCTGCGTGTGGCATGGAAGAGCATATATTTTTCAAATATTAAGCTCCCAACTTTTGTAGTTCCAAAACAGACGGACAGCCAGGCGGCAGACGTACTCTGCTGAAGCAACTGAGTTCGTCGTTCTGATCATAAATAAATGACTGTTACTTATTTTTGCACAAAAACAATAAACCCTTCTTAAGG